GGCGTGCGCCCAATCTCGGTCCCCGAACATACCTATGGTCATGGTCATGTTACGGACTAGTCAGTCACTTACAACTCCAACTCCATAGTTGTCCAGTTATACAGTTCATTGTCATTAGCAGACGACTCTCGTAGGGTAAACAAAAAACACCTCGGTCCAGTTAATGTAGTGTATTCTCATATTTGTGCAAATTGGGGATGTCATTTTTGTAAAATAAATACTGTCTGGAGCAATAAATTTGAATTTGGTAATCATACTTTTACTCTGCAGTCTTCACTAATGTTATTTGTGTGTGTTTGAATTCGATTCAGCTTGGTTAACCTATCAAATTCAGTTCAACTTGTTACTTTTGTAATTTCGTTTTATTGTTATTCAAGTAGTTGTATGTCTTTTTCTCCTAGTACATTTTCAAGTTGTGTTATTACGTGTTTATCGAAAACGTCTTTCTTATTCCAGAAATATTGATATCAGCTATAGTGTTCAAGTAAGGATATAACCATAACCATGAGTTACCGTCAAAGTAACCATGCCAAAAAGTCTAAAGGATTTGGGTTTATTGGCTTTCAAATGCCCAGTAGTCGTAAGCGTGCTGGAGCTGCTATACCTCCTCCACCACAAAACTCGGGTTTTAGCAAGCAAGGTTATCACACGATGAATTCCATCACTGAAACTGCCCTGTCAGCCAGCTGTGGAGCACCAAAGAAACGCAGTAAAACTGAAGACGAGTTGGGTTATTTGGTTCAAAATTAAATGAAAAATTCTATGTTATGCATTTTTAAAATATATATCAACTCGATAGGTACTTTGATGATGATGATGATGATTCGTCGAAACTGGAATACATTCCAGCGCCAGGCTCACCTTCGTACCAAGAGCCCGCAAAAAAGAAACTTGAAAGCCATGATGACAGTGACAGCGAAGAGGATCCATTGGATGCATTCATGGCTGGAATAAACGCTCAAGTTGAAAGATATCAAAACGATAATAAGGATGATAAAAGTAGAGGTGTTAGAGCAGACATTGATGTCGAGGATGATGAAGAAAGTTATTACAGGTAATACAATACTTATAATTGTTGCAAATTATTTTGTACATCATCATCATCTTGATTGATCACTAGATATATGGAAGAAAATCCAAATGCAGGGCTCCATGCAGATGACTCTGATCAAGAAATTGAATACGACGAGGATGGGAATCCTATGGCTCCGCTTAAAAAGAAAGAAATTGATCCCTTGCCTCCAATAGATCACAGTGTCATTCCTTATGAGCCATTTGAAAAGAATTTTTACAATGTGCACCAAGACATTGCGAATCTCGATAAACAGCAAATTGATGATTTGAGAAAAGCATTGGGCATCAAAGTGACAGGGCCAGCTCCGCCTCATCCCGTATCAAGTTTTGGACATTTTGGGTTTGATGAGCATTTAATCAAGGGCATACGAAAATACGAGTACACTCAACCCACTCCGATTCAGGCACAAGCAATCCCTGTGGCAATGAGTGGCCGAGACTTGATTGGCATTGCTAAAACAGGTAGTGGTAAAACGGCCGCATTCGTATGGCCCATGTTAATTCACATAATGGATCAAAAAGAATTGGCTGATGGTGATGGACCCATAGGACTCGTTCTAGCACCAACCAGAGAATTGTCGCAACAGGTGATAATTTTTTGTCCTTTGAAACCAAGTGATGTTTTACAATTGGTTTTTTTTTCCCCCATCCAGATATATCAAGAGGCAAAAAAATTTGGTAAAGTGTACAATATAAGGGTTTGTTGTTGCTACGGGGGTGGCAGCAAGTGGGAACAGAGCAAGGCTTTGGAGGATGGAGCGGAAATCGTTGTGGCCACTCCAGGTAGACTAATTGACTTGGTCAAAATGAAAGCCACCAATTTAGAACGAGTTACATTTTTGGTTCTCGACGAAGCCGATAGAATGTTTGACATGGGTTTTGGTAAGTATCAAAGAGTCACTTGTAAAATCATGGATACATTGACATCATCGAATTTTTAACCATTAGAGCCACAAGTGAGGTCCATATGTAATCACGTTAGGCCTGACAGGCAAACGTTGCTCTTTAGCGCTACTTTTAAGAAAAGAATCGAAAAACTTGCCAGAGACGTGTTGACTGATCCAATAAGGATCGTTCAAGGTGATGTTGGCGAAGCGAATACAGATGTAACGCAGCACGTGGTAGTATTTAACAATGATCCCATTGGTAAATGGAATTGGCTTAATCAAAATTTAGTCCAATTTTTAAGTAATGGCAGTTTGCTAATATTTGTCACTAAAAAGGTAAGGCTTGATGATTATCATCAAATCGACAAATTTTTGCGTATAATGGAAAAAAATTTTTTAGTTGAACGCCGAAGAATTAGCAAACAACTTAAAGTTGAAAGAACACGACGTTATGTTGCTTCACGGAGACATTGACCAAATTGAACGAAATAAAGTTATAACTGCTTTTAAAAAGAAACAAGTTGACATATTAGTTGCTACAGATGTCGCAGGTATGTTTAATCGCTTGTATTTTTCCAATTGAAAATCATTGTTATCATCATCGTAATCATCTGTGCAGCTCGAGGTTTGGATATTCCTCACGTAAGAACGGTTGTAAACTACGACGTAGCCCGGGACATAGACACTCACACGCACAGAATCGGCCGAACTGGTCGAGCTGGGGAAAAAGGTACGGCATATACGCTCGTTAACGAAAGGGACAAGGAATTTGCCGGTCATCTCGTGAGAAATCTCGAAGGAGCAAACCAGCAAGTACCAAAAAATTTGATGGACTTGGCTCTGCAAAGTAATTGGTTTAAAAAGTCGAGATTCAAAAGCGGAAAGGGTAAGCAAGTGACCGTAGGTGGTGCAGGTTTTGGTTTTCGAGGCAAAAGCACGCAATCTGAGCAGAGCTCGGAATCATCGTCAACCTCTCAAGGATCCAAAGATATTAGCCAAGTAGTCAAAACGTTGGAGAAAGCAGGACCATGCAGCGACCGACTTGCGGCAATGAAAGCTGCTTTCAGGAGTCAGTACAATACACAGGTAATGTTCATTTTCACTCCAACAGTCTCTTTGTAACCATTCGTACTAGCAAGCATTCATTTTGTAGTTTCGAGCTTCGTCGGATCACACCTGGGAGCAAACGATTACACCTTTATCTGTGATTATGCCACCACCTCCGCCTCCGCCAAGCACTCTGCCAACTTCTTCAACACCTTCAAACAGCCAATCGACCCAAGAAAACTCCAAAGCAGTACAATCTGAGAAACAGGATCGAAAAAGTGCCAGGAAAAGTCGGTGGGAGTAAAAGTGGTGTGTGTGTGTGGAAGAAATATCTGTTGATGATTTTATCATTTATCGTCGTGAAGAAATAATTATAGTAGATTATTATGTTGTAACGACCATTTTTGTTTTATATTTTACTTACAAAAAATAATTGTGTAACTAAAGGAGTTGCTTCGTGATTTTTTCCATATTTTGAACGTACATTACTCCAAAAAATCATTAAAAGTCTTGCCCCATGCGATTGGTATAATTTTCGTTTAATCAAAATTTTGATTTCATTTGGTAATATTAGATCTGTATCAGACTACAGGTGCTTTCATTACGTGTATTTTTATTCGCCATTGAATGATTCAGTTCATCGATTTATCTGTAATTATTTTTATTGCAATACAATGAAAGTTTATTTAAAAATAGGTTTTAAAAGTTAATGATTGCTTGAAAAATGTGAGGTGTCGAATAACAGAAAAAGTTCCAATTTGCTTATGAAAAACAATTCCCCAATTTTACGTTGAAAATCCGATTCACGTCGTCTGTTTATTTATCTTGGCGCAGGATGACAGAACACACAAAGCCCGAAAGCCGCGTCACAGCGCCACACGGCTGCACTTACAGGCACTGCCTTTACGGAGCTTATAAATATACATGTATACAGCCAAAAAACATCAGCTGATGGTCATGTCATACCTTCTGCTGATTTTGTACCTTTTACCATTTTGACGTTCGTTACAGCCATCGGTTTTCGTCGTAAATTCTGCTTTTACTTGAGTGCGTACTTACTGGAGTAATTGAACCATGGTTAATATCTGCTAAAGAGTAAAAGAAGCAATTAAACCCCGCAGATTGTGCATCGAGGCTGTGACTCATAGATGCTATTCACAGACGATTGGCTGCCTGCAGAGTGACGTACCGAGATTTATGTGTACTTACAAGGCCGTCACACATGACGCAGCTAAGTAGAGGAGCACCATCAGCAAGAGGACAAGGAAAGCAGCAACAACCACCTCGGTGTGAGCTGCTCGGAGCAGCCCTGCTCCACCTCTTGGTGGAGGGTAAGTTGTTGGTCGTAATAATTAATGCATATTAAATATAGCTTTGCCTATCTCTCGGTTGTGTTTTATCATCTGTTACGTATTACGCGAGCTGGATAAACAAAGCCTCCCTCCTTTCTTTTGTGCTATTAATTGGTTTTTTTTTTTTTTTTTATTTTCTCCTATTAACTGACCGCTGTTGCTATCGCTAATTGCTGTCTATTTCTCTATTAAGTATGCTAAATTAAACAGGTGTCTATATACATCCGCAATGCTGTTGCGATATGATGCTTCACGTACGTATAGGGTACTTGACACACGTTATAGATATCAGTATTGTCTTAGTACAGAGCACGATACATAACATTGGAAATCTTCCACGCTTTAATGAATACTTGAGTATATTGGAAACGAAGCTCGAGTAATTTAACTGTAACTGTTTGTAATGCCTCAGCAAGGAAGAGAGGAGAAAGGTGGATCAATATTAAAATATTGTATTACATTATTGACTTGTTATTCACTTTATCTCTCTCTCTATGTGTGAGCCTACCATTTTACATCGTTCCATGGCAAAGATAACATTTCCCGCGAATGATGGTGGCTACCTTTCTTCTCCTTGTATCCTTTAATCAGCTTATTACAAGTATTGATCATATCAGCTTGTTTGTCCAATTGAACAGATACCAAAAAAGTCCACCCACCGTCTTACCAGGCAGGTTAAAATTATTAAATTTGATAGAATTAATTTTTAAAACCAAGAAAAATTACATCATTCATTTGGCATGAATTTTTAATTAAAGTCATGATTCAGGCAACAATTACACTTATGTTTTTTTTTTTTTTTTTTTTTTTCCAGATTCAAGGCAGTCAACCTCTCATTAGTTTGCTCAATGATGAGTTGTAAAGTAGTTGTAGCTGGAAAATTTTGATTTTTCCATCTCATTGTTTGGAAGTATAACCAAACTCAGAGAGGAACTTGGTTGTAATGAGCGATTCGGAACAGCAGCAACTGCATGTGCCTTATAGAGAATACAATAGTCATAACAACACCAACCCTGTGGAAACAGACTCTCTTGTTGATTTATCCGTAGCAGCTGTCAGCAGCAATAGTAATAAAACGGTTATTGCTGATGGTGATCCAATAGTGTTAGTGCCAGAAGTTGAATTTGCTCCTACTACTAGTACAGAACAACCAGTAACCATTGATTCCTCCGGAGCTGACCGGGAGAGCCAGCCTCTCCTTGGTCGATTGGAACTTGATATCACCTTCAATCGTTTTCCAGGTATATAATTTTCAATTTATAAGTTTTTTTTTTTTTTTTTTTTTTCTTATATTTTTCACCACGCATTCAATTTGCAAAAAAACAGAATAAATCACTTGTACGGTCGAATATGTTTTTTCAACTTTTATTAACTGGCACTTTAGATAAAGATATCACAAATATAAAAACGAAAGGAAAAAAATTATCTATTACCATTCATTTTATCTTGGATGAGTAATATTAGATAAAAATCGATGTGAAAATAATTTTCTAGAACCACAAGTGACACGTCGAAACGAATATTTTCTTAGTGACGTCAACTTTCACTACTATTAGACATACGCATTGTTCATTGCACGACCAATACAACAGGAGAGTATGTTTGAGATTGAATGTGAAATTTTTGATAATATTATAGACGATCCACAATTTTCGGAACTAGTATGGCAGGCGGAGTGTGCAATAGACAATGGAATATATCCACAAAGGATATACCAGGGATCGAGTGGAAGTTACTTTGTCAAGAATCAAGCAGGGGTAAGAATAACCTTTTCAGATAACTTGAAACAAAAAAAAATATATATATATATATATGTATATATATTTCAAGTGATTCCATTTTATCTAAAAAATCGTATGAAAATTTCTTAGAAAATTATCGCCGTCTTCAAGCCTAAAGACGAGGAACCGTATGGCAGACTTAATCCCAAATGGACAAAGTGGATGCACAAACTATGCTGTCCCTGTTGTTTTGGCCGCAGTTGCTTAATCCCAAATCAAGGTTACCTCAGTGAGACAGGGGCAAGCTTGGTCGACCGAAAACTCGGCTTAGGCATTGTGCCGAATACTCGAGTTGTCAAGCTCGTCAGTAAAACCTTCAACTACGTAAGAATCGACAGAGAGAAAGCTCGCATGAAGCAGGCCATACTGGAACAATTTCCAGCAGTGGCGTCGCATTTCAATAGAATAGGCTTACCTCCGAAAATTGGATCGTTTCAACTCTTCGTGGACGGCTACAAAGACGCGGATTACTGGCTGCGACGATGGGAGAGCGAACCACCGGCTCCACACTTGGCACAACAATTCCAGCTTCAGTTTGAACGTCTAGTCGTTTTAGACTATATTATTAGAAATACAGATAGAGGTACGTCTTTTATTTCAGTTTTGAAATTATATTTAAAATAATTTATTATATTTTTTTTTTTGGCCGTAAAAGAAGCAATTAAACCC